CTTTGACAGCTCGTGGTCACATAGGCTGGTGTGCTTCTTCCATGTGGGCTTTGTTGCTTCTGAGCTAGATGGCCGCTTGTTTATCTTCAAGCCTTAAAGACCCCACGCAGACCCCAGACCATAAGGTATTTTATGCTATTCTTGCCTATTTTTATTGCCATTACCTTGGAACATTTTCCCATCCTTTGATTTGTTAACTCGTTTATAAAAGATAATAAGAAGTCAGAATAGTTGAGTTGCTACCCCAAAGTTAAATAGCTAGTGAGTGATAGAGTTGAGAATTGGGATCCTAAGCCAAATACCAATTTTATTTGTAAAGAGGGTTTTCTTTACTAAGTTAGAGATGTCATAGGGATATAGGGTAAATCCTAAATTTAATCATGTGAGTTAAAATAAAAAGGGCAGATTAGACACGGAAGCAAGCACAACACTAGAAGATAAATGCCACATGGAGATCACCAAAGAAAAGGCCAAGAGTACAGAAAGAAAAAAGGCAAGGGTCTTCTCTCAGAAGACCTGACAGAAAAGCTCATCAAGAATGAGCCACCCCTAGAACTAATGCACTGAATTTGGGCTTTTAGCTTCCTAACCATAAGAAAGTACATTTCTGTTCTTTGAAGTCATTCACTTGAGTACTTCTGTTATAGCAGTACTAGGAAACTAAGACTAATAAAAAGTTTCTAATTTAATCTTAAAAAACTACAAAAGCCATAATCTGGTGATGCATTGCGAAAGCCATGGGCAAGACCACTCTTCTTCTGTACCCTACGTTACCAAGTAAGAAAGGCCTTCATGTTTCTTTCAGTATCTGTTTCATTAAAACACAATCTGTCTTAACTTTTCTCCAACTAAGTGACTCAGTATACCATCACCACATATAGACATTACACACAAAATAAAGTTACTTTTAAAATTCACATCCATTTTTCTGAAGATAATTATATGCTTATCAATTAACTACAAAAATAATAAATTTTCAGGGTAACAAATCCTATTTTCCTCATTTAATATTATCAAGTCCTACCAGTTACACAAAATAAGAAGAGGCACTGGCCAAATTAACTTTGTTATTTCAAAAGAACTACTTCTGCTGGGCTTTATCACCAAACTGAGGAACTCGGGATATTTCAGGCATTGTTTTGACTATCATGCAGCGGTCACATGTTAAAAAAATTTTTTTTATTACTTACGTCGATATTCAGCTCCAAGTCTCAACATTAGTCTGATGGGAAATACTTTAGCCCAAGGAGTTTCCCATTTCTGGATGAGAATCCCAAACAAGTAAGGTGGAGTTGGGAGTACTAGGTCTTGAAGTGACTGGTAGGTAGATGTCACATATAAGAATCCACCATGTTCTTTACTGCCAAGAAAACTTTGACTGAAGAAGGAATGTCCCAGGTTGCTTACAACATTTCCTGAAACAAAAGAGTTCATTATAGTACTTTCAATCAATAAATTATATTTTAAAATAATCATCATTATTCAGCACTGGGCCAGATACTAAAACAAAAACAAAGGAATAAACAACCAATTGCCATCTAATTGGTTTTTATCATGGAAACCCCATGTGTTTCACTGGATTTTCTTTTGAATATAATTTTGATGCTGTTGAGAATATACTTAACACAGCATATACCAATTCAGCAATTTCCACACATATAAATCAGTGCATTGATTACATTCTTCAAGTTTTGCAACCATTTTTATCCTTCTTTCTTTAGTTGTTCCTGCCCCATGAACTCGCTGCCTCTTAAATTTTCTGTCTGAGTTACTATTGTCCATGCCTTCCAAGATCAATATTAACAGATCACAATGTTCATGGCAGGCATTCTTGGTGGCATAGAGGGTTACACATTGGGTGGCTAACTATAATATCAGAGTTCAAAGTCACCAGCCACACTGCTGGAGGAAGATGAAACTTTCTATTCCCTTAAAGATTTACAGTCTCAGAAACCCACAAGGAACAGTTCTACTCTGTTCTCTAGTGTTATACCAGTGCTTTCCTTAGCTAAATGATAGTTTTATTGCATGAATTACTTCAGAGATCTTGGATAAAATCAAAGGTCATGAAAAAAATATTGCTCTTAGGTACAAAGCTTTCAAACTCACTGCATGAACCAAGTCAACTCCAGAACAAATTAAGACAATAGATATGCTCACTAGATATGTATAAGCATCCTTTCATAACTCTGAAAGAAATAACATCAAACAAATCTACAGTACAGGAGTTAATAAATATTTCCTCCCAAAACTAATGTTTGTTCACAAAGCAGTAATCAGTCTTTGAGAAGAATAGGAAGGTAGTTGATAGTACAATAGCTAACGCAAATGAAAGAAATTATGAATGAAAAGAATTTTCAAAGGGCAACTCAAGAAGACAAAGTAAAATATTGTAATGAAATGTTCATAGGCCTAGAGTTAAAAAAAACAAAAGGGGAAAAAGCTTAACATATCTCAAATTGAAGGGAAAAAAAAAACCCTCAAGAAAAAAACCTGAAGACTTGAGTTACAATATTGAAAAATTCTATGGGCAAAGTATTGAATGATGCAGGAATCATCAGAATGATGCAGAAGAAGCTGGAAGGAATATAGAGTCACTGCATGAAAAAAGAACTAGTCAACATGTCACCATTTCAAGAGGTAGCATATGAGCAAGAACCAGTGGTATTTGAAAAAGTTTAAGCTGTACTACAAGCATTAACCAAAAACAAGTCTCCAGGAATTGATGGAATACCAATTGCGATGTTTCAATAAGCTGATGAAGCACTGGAAGCACTCACTCGTCTAGGCCTGGAAATTTGGAAGACAGCTATCTGACCAACTGACTGACGAGATCCCTATTTGTACCCATTCCAAAGAATGGAGAACCAACCGAATACTCAAATTATAAAGCAATATCATTGATATCACATGGAAGTAAAATTTACTGCAGATCATCCAGCAACAGTTGTAGTAGTACAGTGACAGGGAGGGGACAGAGGTACGGGCCAGATTCAGAAGAGGACGTAGAACTAGGGATAATATGATGGTTGACATCAGATGGGTTTTAGCTAAAAGTAGAGAATACCAGAATACCATTACAAACTATAGATAGTCATGAGAAGAATGGGAATTCCAGAACACTTAATTGTGCGCATATAGAACCTGAACATGGATCAAGAGGCATGTGTGTGAACAGAAGAAGGGACTACTGCAGGGTTCAAAATCAGGAAAAGTATGTGTCAGGGTTGTATCCTCCAATATAACTGTTCAATCTGTAAGCTGAGCAAAGAATTAGATAACTGGATTATATGAAGAATATGGTATGCAGATGACACAACCTTGTTTGCTGAAAGTGAGGAGGACTTGAAGCACTTGCTGATGAACATCAAGGATTTCCGCCTTCAGTTCAGATAATTCAATGTAAAGAAAACAATCATACTCACAATTGGACCAATAGGTAACCTCATGATAAACAGAGAAAAGACTGAAGTTATAAGAATTTCATCTCTTGTATGAGCCCCTAATAAAATGTTAAAAAAAAAAGAATTTCATCTCGCTTGCTCCACAATCAATGTTCACGGAAGCAGCATTCAAGTGATCATACAATGCATTGCAATAGGTACATCTGTTGCACAAGACCTCTTTAAAGTGTTTAAAAGCAAAGATATTACCCTGAGGTCTAAGAGATGTCTAACCTAAGCGTGGTATTTTCAATGGCCTCATATGCAATGTGAAAGTTGGACATTGAATAAGGAAGACCGAAGAAGAATCAATGCATTTTAACTATGGTGTTGGTAAAGAATGCTGAATGTATCATGGACTGTCAAATATAATGTCTAGTAAGCACAGCCAGAATGCTCCTTTTAAGTACAGCCAGAATGGTGAGGCTTTGTCTCACGTACTTTGGACATGGTATTATGAGACCAGTGGCTGGAGGAGGGCATCGTGCTTGGTAAAGTGAAGGGGCGGCACAATAAGGAAGGTCCTCGACGAGATGATTGACACAGTGGTTGCAACAATGGGCTCAAATATAAGAACAAGTGTGAGGATGGTGCAGGACAGAACAGTGTTTTATTTGGTTGTACTTAGGATCACTATGCGTTAGAATCAACTTGACGGCACCTAACAAAATAACAACAATATGTTGATAGTAAGGTTCTCCAATAAAGAAAGCACCTAGCCACAAAGCTCAGAGAAGCTTTATGACTAAGGACCATGTTTCTCTGAACATCACCATGTGTTATACAGCAACCAAGCCTGACTATCCAATTCAGCTGCTGAACCAGAGGTATACAAACCGGGGAGTGGGGGAAGCTCATATCAAAGAAGGAGATGACATTCTGGAAAAAACTACAGATTTTAGAGTCACAGAGATATAAGATTATATACTAGTTTGATCCTCACTATAGTGTGATTTGGGGCACATTATTTAACCTTGCTGAGCTTCAAAGTTTATGTCGAATAGTGAAAATTACACTAAATGTCACACCTACTGTGAAGAATAAACTATATGGCTACATATAAAATGCCCAAAAGACACTGTCACACACTGAGTCTTCATAGGCATTATATCTGGGTTTGAGTGAAATAGAGTGGAAAATAAACGAGATAAAAATATTTTCTTCCCACATAAAAAAAGTTGCACAATAGCAACTCTAAAACGAGCAATCCATCATTTATCAGTTTGTTGTACTGTGGTGGCTTGTGTGCTGCTGTGATGCTGGAAGTTATGTCCCTGGTTTTTCAAATGCCAGCATGGTCACCCAACGCAAACATGTTTCAGTGGAGCTTCCAGACTAAGAAGAGACAACAAAGAAGGCTCCTCGCTTCGGAGGAAGTTAGCTGCTGAAAACCTTATGCATAGCTTTGAAACATTGTCAAATACTGAAGACCTAATGAATGAAAGCAGAACACTGTTGGAGACAGTGCCATTGGATGGGTCCCTTGGGTCTGAGGACACTCAAAATGTGACTGAGGAGGAGCTGATGTCTCTCAGAGTGCAGTCGACTATGGAGATGTAAGTGGGATAAAGCCTGTGCGAGCGGAGCCTTTGGGATCTTCATTTGCTGATGGGGCACTACTCAAGGTAAGGAGAACAGCAGCAAAAGCCTAATGATCAGGACCTGGAATGTGTGAATCTAAGAAAATTGGAAGTCTTCAAAAAAGAGACGAAACACATAAAGATGGATGTCCTACGCATTAGTGAGCTGAAATGAATTGGTATTGGCCAGTTTGATTCAGAAAATCATATGATTTACTTTGCCAAGAAGAACTCAATCAAAACAAGTTTTGAAAGGCATGGCATTCATTCTCAAAAAGAACACTGCAAAATCAGCCTCGAAGTATAATGCTGTCTGGGATAGGATTATATCGCTCTGCCTTCAAGGAAATCCAATGCAGCTTCCTTCTGTTTCGAAGGATACATATCAATTTTCACATCAACTCAAATAGAACAATTTCCAAGTGCCCATCATTGTCCATTTATTTTAAGAAATACTGATATTTCCAAACATTAAGATAACTAATATAAATAAACCTCAAACCATCAAAATGATTTAGATTATTGCTTGAAGTTCTTTAAAGTGCAATGTACTCCAGTTAAAAATAAAGGCTTAGTAAAATGCCTCAGTTTAAAACATCATGAAATTTAGCACTTAACTTCAAAAAGTTCAAGCGGCAACATATTGTCCTTACAGTTCAAAAGAGGATTCAGAGATAACACAGTTGAGTTCAAGTCTGAGGTCAGCCACTGACCAGCTGTGTATGTGACCTTGGGAAAGTTATTTCTGCTCTTGGTATCGCTCATGTTCTTATGTGCGAGCAACAACAACAGTGTGCATCTCCGAGTTTCGTTAAGAAATAAAAATAGAGCACACCAAAAGCAATGAATGCACTGCCTAGTATGTAGCACATGCTTAAAATTGCCAAAAACACTTCACTCAGTTGAAAAATTATGTCACAAAGCAATAGTACTGTGACCCTTTTACTTACAGAAAAATGCAAAGTGAATTCAATTTACTAAAACTGGTTCACAATAAGATGAAAAATATAACAATACCCTCAACCATGAGATAACATTCTTTCACTAGAAAAACAATACAAGTAAATTGCAGATGATTTCTAAAACACTGATGTGAATCCTCAGAACGCATACTGTTGGGGAGCTTTGCATAAATAAGGAGCTAATAATGATGAGTGCAAGAACAAAAAGCATGTTCTAAAACAGATTGTGGTGATGATTGTACAACTTTTCTTGATGTGACTGAACTATTGAATTGTATGATATGCCAATAAACTTAAATTTTTTCCATATATGAAAACGTGACTTGACTTTAAAAATGCTAATGCTTATAAGCAGTTTAATATTTGTGGCCCTGAGACCCAGTAGTAATTTATCAAAATCTGAAATAATTACAGGAAATATTGACCAAGC